GGGGGGTGACAGAGTGCAGTGTTTTCACTGTTGGGCCCTCGACCTTCCATTGCCCCAGAGACTGGCTGACACTGCTTTCCTGATTGGACACTTTGGGTCTTCTTAATAAATGAATGTAAATAAATGACGATGGTAGAGACTGTAATGAAGTAAAGGGGTAGGGCTGGTTTTGAAAATTAACCCCAACTTCACTTCCTCACTTATTTACTTTTCTAGCTTGGGTCCAGAGCCTGAATGGACGACATTGCCATAAATGGACATGAAGGGGCGGAGACAGGGGCGGGCGCAGCGAGCTTCACGAGCCCATCGGAGTTACCCGAGTCTCATGGGTCACCGCGGTGTGACTGGGGCCCCAATCAGGCGAGGAGGAAGGGGCGTGTCCAGGGCCGAGACCACCGGCGGAACTACCAGGAGCAGTGGCGGGCGGAGTTCCTGATGGAGTTTGACGCGGCGCGCGGTGTCATGCTGTGCATGGTGTGCGGCAGCTCGCTGGCCTCGCTCAAACTCAGCACCATCAAGAGGCACATCCAGCAGAGGCACCCCGACACGCTGCTGTGGGCCCCCGCCGACAAGCAGCTGCTGCTCTGCGACTGGGAGGCCGCGCACACACCCAGGGGCTCCGCCGGGGGCCCGGGGCCCGAGAGTGAAGGTATGCTATCACCAGGGGGGACGTAGTGCGCTCCGACGCACCTTTATTTTGCGGGGGTGGCTTAGCAGGTTCGGATCTTGTGCCCGTGAACCGAAGGTTGCTGGTTCAAATCCCAGGGTCGGCAGAATGATGTTGCTCTTGGGCCCTTGGCCTTCCATGGCCCCAGAGGCTGGCTGACCTGGCTGATCTTTCCTGGTCAGATCCCTCATTTCACTACTGGGTCCTTGAGCACAGCCTTTAACCCCAATTGCCGACCCTGCTTTCTCAAAAATGTAGGTCGCGTTTAGTAGTGTTACGGTATCCGTACCGAAGATTTTCGGAACAGCTCTTTTGGTTCGGTGTGTATTTGTCCCAAAGAAATACAGCAAATGCGGAACCATTGTGTGCATGTGCGTTTCCCCCAAGCGACATTCGGAAAGGGGCTTATGAAGCCGTACCACTGTGCATGTGCGCATAGTTACGGGGAACACAGATAAACCAGTACTTGAAGGTACAGTTCATTTTCTAAATGTTGACCTTAATGGATATTCATTTTGTTTTTATTTACTAATTTACTGTTTTATTTTAGTTAATTTTTATTAGGTTGCAGCAGTATTGACGGAGTAGGACAGTCATACTTTGTTCAGTAAACCAATGTTTAATAAAGAAGAAAAAAGACAGTTTTTATTTTCTTTCTTTTATCCCCGCTGTACCGAAAATGTACCGAACTGTGCCCCGGATGGCCGGTGACTCAGGCCCCGGTGAAGGTCACGCTGACTCGGGCCCCTGGTGAAGGTCGCGCTGACTCGGCTCGGATGGCCGGTGACTCGGCCCCCGGTGAGGGTCGCGCTGACTCGCCCCGGAATGGCCGGTGACTCGGGCCCCCGGTGAAGGTTGCGCTGACTCGGGCCCCCGGTGAAGGTCGCGCTGACTCGGGCCCCCGGTGAAGGTCGCGCTGACTCGGGCCCCCGGTGAAGGTCGCGCTGACTCGGGCCCCCGGTGAAGGTCGCGCTGACTTGGCTCAGATGGCCGGTGACTTGGGCCCCCGGTGAAGGTTGTGCTGGCTCGGGCCCCCGGTGAAGGTTGTGCTGGCTCGGGTCCCCGGTGAAGGTTGTGCTGGCTCGGGTCCCCGGTGAAGGTTGTGCTAACTCGCCCTGGCCGCCTTTTAAGCTGAACCGTTCCCCTCCCTGTGAAGGTGTCCCACCGAAGGCAGAGCCAGCACCCCAGGAGCCACAGCCTGCGCAGCCCGTGTCGGGAGGGGTTCGCGACCCGCTGGCCCAAACGCTGGAGCGCTACGCCAACGACACGCTGCGTGCCTGGCTCCGGCAGGAGTTCCTCATGGAGTACCGTGCGGCGGAGGGCCGGCTGCTCTGCATGGTGTGCGGAGCCCAGCTGCCTGCGCCGCATCTGCAGCACGTCAAACTGCATGTGCTGCAGCAGCATCCTGACTCACTGGTGTACAGCTCCGAGGAGAAGCACCACATCCTGCGGGGCTGGGGTGAGCGGAGGCGGGGGGGTGAGCAGGAGAGGGGCAGGGTGAGTGGGGGTGCCACTGTGGTGGGGAGGGGCAGGGTGAGCGGGGGTGCCACTGTGGTGGGGAGGGGCAGGGGGTTGCTTTTGAAACCATAGCAGTGACCACATGCGTAGCAGAGTTAGGAGGACAAGCTTGGGGGGGGGGGATTCCCGCATTTAGCTGTTCTCCTTTGCTTTGACTGTGTGTGTCTGTCTGCATGTCTGTGTCCCTAACCCCGCTCTCCCCCTCCCCCCTCCCAGAGCACGCCTCACCTGAAAGCCCTGGTGCCCTGAAACTGGACCACGAGCCCCCAGCTGAAGATCTCAGAGGCGTGCCTTCCGACGCTGCTTCGGGCTCCACACAATGCTGGGGGTTTGGCAACGCTGTGGAGTAGCAGGTGCGAGCGGGCCACCCCCCCCCCCTCCACTGAGGGTCAGACCTCGTCTGCATTTCCAGGTATCGGCACAGACAGCTAAGGCAGCCGATGCCTTAGACACACGAGCAGCAGATGGACTGGCAGACCCGGGACAGTGAAGGCGGGGGCCTCCTGGCTGCGACGGTCAGAACCCCCCCCCTTGGAGTTTGATCGGGAAGAGGACCAAAGAGGCTGCGCCCATGACAGCACCAGTTACCCAGTAAGAAATGGGGGCACACAGCCCCCCCAACAGGAAGGACAAATATAATTATTAGGGGGAGAAAAAGTTACACAGCCCCCCCTCCTGTAGCAGGTGGTTTATTCTGACCTGTGACTGTTTGGTTTTAAATACAAGGGGGGGGTGCTTTTTTGGACAACCATCTTTTGGGCTAGATAATAAAAAGAATCAGTCTGTTAATCTTATTTTACTGTGTCTAAAGTAACAACCTCAAATTTAACTGACCATTACCCACATGCATGATGTTGCTGGTTCAGGACATGCACCGGATGGTTGCTGGTTTAAGTTCCTGGAGGAGGTCTGTTCATGTACCCTTCGCAGTGAAATACCCACGAGATACGCTGGGTGAATGCAATTGAGAAATGTAAAGCGTACATCTTCTGTAATAGGAATCTGCAGTCAGAATATATCTCACTGCATGCTGTCAGGCAATTTAAAAGACACCCTTTTAATGTTATACGTAGAAATCTTCATGGCATCATCGAGGGCGTGACGCTCTTAAGGACCCCTGTGAAGCCGAATGGCATAAGGAGAGATGAACCTCCAACCATCTAACTCCATGCTCTTCCGGGTCGGACGTCTCTACATGCACACTTCAGATTAGGGAACGTTAAGTTAGGGAAACCAGGTCAATATGTTGGACGACTGAAGCGGAGCTGTTCATGAAAGCTCTGCAGTGTAGACCCTGACACTTACGCTAATTGAACTTCCACTAAACCTTTGATTAAATGCTGATGTACCTCAGAGGCGGGGAGGCTGTACTGTGGCAGGGACCCCTCTGACGTCTTCAGGAGCATCTGTCTCACTTGGGCAGCAGATCCATACCTGGAATCCACCCTACTTGGTTTTCCTTTTATTTTTCCCAAGTCTGTTTCCTTATGTCTACAGATGTTTGGCTTCTTTTCAAGCACTTTGTCACTGAAGCTCATTTTAAAATTTCAAAATGTCTGGCATCCGCCCCTTCCAAGCAGAAGCCCTCATTGACATAATCTAGCCATTTCACAGGAAATGGGAGACAGGGGCGTGACCCTTTGCCCGCTCCGGGAAGAATGAAGTCATCAATAGAGCATCAAAGGGACGATTCTTTACTCAGTGTCATACAACAGCGCAATACAATCTACATAAACAGATATCGAGTTGCCTTCATAAGCTAAAAACAGCGCCCAAGAGCAGCAACCGAGGCAGGAAAGATGATTCATTCTTGTCAGGTGTAGTTTTAAAAGACATTTATTGGTTAGTGAACATCAAATATCAAGTAGCCAAGTGTTTTTCAACTGGTAGCGAGTAGGGGGGGCTGGTTGCTGGGGAACAGATCAATATCCAACAGATGTGTGTGGTTTCGAGACAGATATCCAGGGAAACGCACCAAAAGCACATTAAGCGGATGTTTCATAGTACCTATGTTCAGCTACAGCAGTGCAGAATGCAAAGGCCGGGGGGAGGAGCCAACGGCAAACTGAACCAGACATTACCGCCGCACGTTTGTGAGGCCCTCTGACCCAACAAACCCCCCCCCCCGCCCACAGAAGTTCACATACACTGGGAATGTTCCAGAATGTTGTGTTTTTTCCCTTTCAGGGGAAAGGGTCAGTAGTGTGTCACACAATGGATATTCATACACGAGCTAACGATTTAAAAAAGTAACAACCTCGCTTTTGGAATCAAAGTACACCGAAACTCTAAAACGTGTGAAATTAAGGGAATATGCATAACAGACGGGTGAAAATCCTACGGTCTCCAAGAAGGGTCAACCAAGGCCGCTCTCAAACAGTACCGCCGAAACAGGCCGAGATGTTAAAGCAGTTACCATAACAACAGTAATAACATTAACGTAAAAATTCACTTTCTAACTACGCGACGATAACAGCAGAAAGAGTCTTAAAAAGAAAGTAGGATACAGTGTCGCTTCCGTGACAGCAGAGATGTCGTTACAACCGTGTGGACAAACGGACGAGTGTTTTTCAGGTGAGAAGCTGGAGGCAGGGGGCCACTGGGCCCAGGATCCCCTCCGGAAAATGTTAGTCGACGTTCACGTGGTTCTTGCAGAACACTGAGGGCTCCAGTTAAGTGTTTCTCTAGCATACGAGCAAGTGCTACTCTGAGGATCTAAATAACAGACACAAGTAACACTACAGAGGAAGGGGAGGGACGGGCACACGGGGGGAGGGACAGTTACCCACAGAACCACCAAAACACTCATTTTCACCCCCCAGGCCTCATACATACAGCAGACGAACACAGACAGTCACTTCCAAGCCGGGAAGCCTCTCCCAGCTCCGATCCGGCTCGGGGGCGGGGTCTCCGTTTACTTCAGCTGCCCATGACGGGGGGTGGGGGCTGCAAGGACGCCAGTGCATGTGCGTTACATGGCAAATGCTCAGGGGATTTTACATGGTCGCTGGTTCAGTGCAGTGTGTGTGCAGGGAGGGTGGGGCAGGAACACGGGCTGGGGGGGCGGGGGGGTGTAATCAATCATTCCGCTTTGCTACGCTTCACCACATTGGGAAGCTTCTCCTGTAACCTGGCAAAGAGGAAGAAAAACAACAACATTAGCAGCCACCTGTAATTACGCTGTAACACTCCTGTTTAGCAGAGCTGGCTGTCTAACCAAGCAAGACGGCTTCCCAGTTAGTGTCTGGAGGCTTTCCACTCTGCCCAGTGAGCCAACGCCCCGCAGTGTTCAGACTCCCAGTCACACGCTGACTGTGACCCCCCCGTCCCCCCCCCCCGACACGGTGACTCCTTACTTCGCCACAGTGCTGTCCACTTGGGTGTGGACGCGTTTTATGTGATGGTCGATCTGGGTCTGCGGGGAGGAAAAAAAAAGAAAAAAGACATGAAATATTTTGAACTTGGCTGAAACCGATCGGGAGGAGCGGACAGAGGCGTGACCTTTGCCCTGTCCCAGAAGCAGCGGGACGTCATCGTGAGGAATGAGTCACGCAGCTGTACTCCGCTGACACGCCCATCAGCTGATGTGTTTCAGCTACAGGGGTAACAGTGGGAAGAGTAGATGCCCCTCTGTTTGAGCTTTTTACAGATATCACATGATGTGACAACTGGGCAGAGAAGAATCATTTCGATGTGTGTAACATAATGAGCATATAGATGCAGGAGTGTGTTCTGGGAAATTTTTAGCAAGAAATCCCAGCCTTTCGTTTCTGAGGCGGAACATTGGCAGGAATATTTCATAAACGGGCACATGGGAGTTTTACTTGCACTAAAAATGTTCTGAGGGCAGAATGCAAAATGATTGGTTGTCTCTCTGAGCCAATCAGATTGTAGAGGAGGTGGGCCCAAGACATCTTATTGTGTAACTCAGGTGTAGCGTGACATTAGCAGGGTAACAATGAGGCCGAACATGACGCTCAGCGGCGGGGGTCCCCATGGCGCCCTGACCCACCCCCGGTCTCCACCCGCCAGGTTACTCGCAGTATTGGTTAGTTAAAGCTGGGTACTAACACCTCTAACCGCTAAAACGGAAGGATCAGATGGTCTCACCTTGTTTTTCTCGTACACCAGGGGGACGGTAAAGAGAACAACATCCGCTGCGGGGGAGAGATGAGGAGAGAGCAGAAGCATGTGGCCTCTGTTAGTGTCTTTGATGAGCTTTTTAACAAAACACCCCCCATTGTTACTGCCCATACCACTGTGTGTTTAAGCAACAGAAAATGCAGGACTAAACACCCAGAGAGAATATGCAACAGCTCAGAACAGTCCTGAATAAATCTTAAACTGCATATAAAATATAAAAATATGTATAGTGATTCTGCCGGGCTGCTCTCCGACCTTCAAGTCTCTCCAAAGCTGGACAAATGTACCGCTTTACCTTATAATTGGAATGAAGAGGCTGTTTTTCAAACAGACTATGACTCAGACCTGAGCCTTACATAATACATCAGCAGGCACTGGGGGGGTCAGCCTGGGGGTCCCCTGAAGGCCCCTGATTGGGGCCCCCATCCCAGAATACATCAGCAGGCACTGGGGGGTCAGCCCGGGGGTCCCCTGAAGGCCCCTGATTGGGGCCCCCATCCCAGAATACATCAGCAGGCACTGGGGGGGTCAGCCCGGGGGTCCTCGGTGGTCTGTCTTACCCAGGATCAGGAGGGTGATGCCGTTAAAGATGGCGCCAACGTAGGTCATCAGCCACATGAGGACGGCCAGCTGGATTGAGAAAAGCACAAGGACCAATCACATCCATGCTACCCTAACTTTGACCCCTAACCCTAACTGCCCCATACCCCCCCAGCTGGGACAGGATCGCTCAGCATTGGGCGTTATGGTGCACTGGCTGAAGTCTTAATGAAATTCTGAAGGAAACATGAAAACATCACAGAACATTCCAGAAATAAATCACTCGTTTTCTCTCGTGCTTTGAACATTTGGCCTTAAATCCTTTCCTCTGAACTGCCGTCACTTTCCACATTGCATTAAACACAGCATTTACAATATGATGGATTACTGTACCATCAAGTTTGATAAATCGCAAGAAAAGCGATCGGTAATGCAGAATTACGGCCTCCGTCGTAAAAACAGTGAGCTGACCCTGGACTTGGAAGTAGGCAAACAAACCTTGAGGGAGTCCACCAGGTCCTCCACCAGGAAAAGACGCCTGACTTGGTGGATGGCGGAGTTGGCTTGGGACAGGCAGACGTCCACGTGTTTGCGGAAGGTCTCGGGCGCGACGCAGATGTCCTTTTCCATGAACGCCCTTCAGGTCAACAAGGAGCCACACATTAAGCCACGTCTGAAGGACCACGAAGCCGATACACACAGCCCAATGACTCCCCTCCCCCATCGGCGTCTCTAACTTGAAAGGGTGTCCGTCGTTGGACTTCTGCACCGCCTGGATGACCGACTTGTAGGATCGGAAGGTGATGGTCACGCAGAGGAGGGCCAGCAGGATGTAGGAGATCACGCTGATGACGCTGAAGGTGGCCAGTGACAGCAGAAGGATCAGCGAGACGCCGAACACCACGCCCGTCTTCTTGGGCTCCCGCCAGTACACCAGGTCTTTCACTGCGAGACGCGGAAACAGATGGAAGAGACCTCACTCCGTGGCATTCATGGACTAACTCGGGGCACAGGCAAAGAGCGGGGGGCCCCGGTAACAGCTCTCAGTCGGCTAGTAATCATGACTGTCCAATAGGAATGCTCCTCACTCCTTACCTAAAATCTTATTGGACAATCATGACTTCAAGCTTAACATAACCCAGCTAAGTGAGAAATCCTCTTCACAAGCGAGTCCTGTGTGGCCTTCCACTAAAATGTCACAGACAACACCAATACAGTAACAGCAATCCAGCCGTCCCGTCTCTCTTTGGCTTGTCTTTTTTTTTTTTAACGTTTGGCTCCTACGAAGGTGTGATCTGCAACAGTGGCTCTTCTGTTTTTTTGCCAGGGCAATTATATCAAATCCAAGCTTCACTGAGGTCATCGGGGGCCAATTTTTAAGGATATCACATGAAAGCTACAATAATAGACTTATTACACTACAATTTATATTTATTATTAATTCAAAGAATTTATTTTAGGCAGATATCTATTCATCTTCATACACTTGACCATAATTCTTTTTTGCACCTTAATGATCATGTGGGCTTGTAAAAATAGCTCTACAGGTCAGAAACGGCCAAAACCAGTCTGCGGGCCCAGATGTGCTCTTTAGCGCCCCCCCGGCGCATCACCTGGGGGCCCACAGTTTACAGCATGGCCTTTTGAGATGTCACTTAATATTCCTGTGAGCTTTGATGGAATGAATGACCAGGTTAACACTTACAATTAGATCTGAAATGACATGAAGAGAGTGTCCCCTTTGCCTGTCACCACGCTTAACATCGAAGACAAGAAGAAGCTGTTTGGACATCAGGCTCTCATGGACAATATTTCTATTCAGCAGCATGCAAATAATGGGGCATGTTTTCTCACTGCTCCTTGCTGCAGATGTTAGCCAAGCTCGCAACTGCCGTCACGTGCGACTGCTTAGCAAGTCCGCGTAAGTAGAGAAATAAAAATATTTCCATTGTGACATTGTGAGTCGAGTCTGGCACAGGAAACCCGTCTATTGTTCTCAGGTCATTCCTGGAGACGAGCTTCAATGCAAAGTACCACAGGAGGCCAACTCTATCCCAGCATGCCCCAGGAGGGTCTCGGTATCTGTGGTGCGGAGTGCCGTGTCTACATACATCGACACGCGTGTCAAAGATTCAGCACGGATGTGAAGCAGAGTGCAGGTTGCAGTTCAGCTTTTCTAACCGAAATGTTGACAATATGGACACATGTACGGGTTAAATTTGGGCGATATCACATCGATATTATGTCATGCACACGCAGTAAGGGCTTCAGATGACAGGCGAAACATATGGCTGGACGCCAGCTTTCTGGTAATTTGGTAGGGAGATTAGTAGCACGGCTAAAATATTAATAAGATGTGTTTTGTGACACCCAAAAGTTACTAATCTGTATAAACTTGGCATATCTTTATTTTTATTAAATTCAGTTAGCGGAGCACACTGCATAATACCATTTTGGTATACTACAGTTCGGTGTGCCGCGGTTCGGTGTGCCGCGGTTCGGTGTACTTCCGTGCGATATGCACTGAAGTGGCGGTGAAGAAAGGGGCAGCTCAGTAGCCAGGATGTCTTTTAAAAGAGGAGATATTGTGGTTAAACAAGGTAAACAGACGTTTGCAGTGTGGTGGTACTTTTTGGAGTTTTAAGTCTGGTACGTTTATTAAACATAAGGATACGCCAAATTTATACCAATTAACTTTTGGGCATCATAAAATGCCTTATCAATATTTTAGACACACTACTAATCCAATGCCGAGAATCTAAGTTAAATGGGGAAAAGCAGAAAGATTTACTGTAACTGATAAACAAATGACAGCCTACATGTCCCATAACACATTAAGCAGGTTAGTATAAGAACATAAGAAATTTATAAACGAGAGGAGGCCATTCGGCCCATGAAGCTCCTTTGGGGAGAACTCAACTAATATCTGAGTTGTTAAAATCTTATCTAGCTCTGATTTAAAGGAACCCAAGGTTTTCGCTTGTACTACATTAACCCTAAGAGGAAGACTAGTGCTTTCTCAACTACATTAACCCTAAGAGGAAGACTAGTGCTTTCTCAACTACATTAACCCTAAGAG